CACACACACACACACACACACACACACACACACACACACACACACACCCCGCAGTGGCCTCTCCCCCATACCTACACGGCCTCTTCCTTTAGGCACCTCAGATGTCCCCTGATTGGTGAGACCTTCCTTCGGCCTCTGTCTTGATGCCCTCCTCTCTCTTTTCTGCTCACTTTACCTTGTCACCAAGCTGACATCCTACATCTATTTTCTTATTAGGCCACTTAAGCTGCCTCCTGTCTGTTCCCTATAATAAGGACAGGGATTTCTGTTTATATGTCTCTCTCTCTCATTGTCTCTCTTTCTCTCTCTCTCTCTCACTCTCTTGGACCTAATGCAGTGCTCAGACTATAATATAGATGTTCAGAAAGTATCTGTGGACTCTGATGACAATTCCATATTCTAAAGTAGTTGCTAACTCTGCAAGTGAATTCAGGAGAAATAGTGAGAAACAACCTCAACAGAACCCCTCTGCCTAGTGACCTGACTTGATTGTTAAGGGCTGATTTAATGTCCAGAGAGATGGAATGTGAGGCAACCCACCACCTCTCTTTGAGCCCCTGGAAAGGACCGAGGCACAGAGCTCAACAGAATCACCACACAGGAAAAAGCACACGCAGGCCATTGAGAGGATCAGGAAAGCCTGGGAGGGACAGCCGCCGGCCAGAGAAATGGTCTCCCCATACATGGTTTGAAAAGCAGGGTAGCAAGCCCCTGGCCTGTGACACATTTAAGCCTGGAGTCCAAAGGACACTGCCACAGGGCAGAGGTTTGGGAAGCTCTGTGGGATGCAGTCATGGTTTCTGGCATTGACATCCTCTTGGGTCACATGGCCCAGACACTATAACCATGTGAGTGTTAAATGCCAAGCAGGCCTTGGTCCCTGCGCTGCCTGCTCAGTTGCTTGTTAGCCTCAGACTATTCCGTGTGTGCCCGGTGCCATGTCCCTGTCTGTGGGCCCTGCTGAACCAATAGAAGACAATCCCCTGCTGCTCGGTGCCAATGGGGTGACACTGTCCATCCTGAGCTTGAGCTCAGCAAAACACACACTTCTGTATTCTTGCTTTTTATCTTCAGTACTGAGCCTAGGGCCTTGTACATGCAGAGAGCTCATTCTGCCATGGACCTGCCCCTACTCCTCACCTTTTTAACTGTTATTAGCTACAGCAACCAATGCCCTACCTTGTCCCCAAAGTCTGCAAGAACAGTGTCCTCGTGTGTACACAGTATTCTGTGAGAGCTGTTCACATGAACATCTACAGTGTAAAATGAGACACACCCACCCCACACCCTGAGCAGAAGTGGCTGTGGTCCAATGAGGGCATGTAAGTCACCTGGGTGGTCAAGGCATCTCAGGGCCTCACAGACTGTCTTTCCTCTCTATTGGTCTTTTGCGAATGGATATGTGTAGGTTTTCCCAAGGGTCTTCAGGGTGGCTTCCCTGCAATTCTAGCTGGTGACCTGAACAGGAAACAAGAAAGAGGAGCTGGCTTCTGGTTTTTGAGTTCTCTGAAGCAAACCCTTAGGTTGGTGTGGTCAGTCACAGAATTCTCAGTGGCCAAGGCCAGCGAAAAGACCAGCCATGAGCACCAGCTTGACGTAGGAAAGCAATTCCCAGATAGTGACTGTTAAGCGCTGCATTCTGAAGAACCCTCACTGAGTGATGGGGGACTGGAGAAATCGCATGCTGCGGTGGTGGGCATTGTCTCGGAGACCTGAGGCCACCTCACCTTTGACCTTCAGGCCCATGTCTTCTGAAAGGAAAGGTAGCGCCCAGCTCAGGCCAGCCCTCTCTTGCTCTGTGGAACCTGAGACTACTCAGTAGATCGGGTGTAGCTGCTAAGGTCGTGACGTTTCCACCACATCCTTCCAGACTTTGAATGGAATAGGGACTTCATTCTGGAGACTCAGGTAGTAACCTAGTTTCCTTTGTTTCTGTGATAAAATAATCTGACCGGAAGCAACCTAGATAAGGAACGGACTTACTTGACTTATACTTCCAGGTCACCATACATCATTGAGGGAAATCAAGACAGGAAGTTGAGCAAGGACCTTGATACAGGAGAAATGCCACTTGCTGGCTCACTACCAGGTTTTTTTGTGGCTAGCTCTCCTGTGTAACCCAGGACCACCTTTCCCTGGCAAGGTACTGCCAAAGTGGGCTGGACCCCCTTACACCAATTCTAGTCAGGACAGTCCCCAGAGACTGTCCCTCATCTGAGACTCCCTCCTCCCATGACTCCAGGTTGAATCTAGTCAACTAAAGCCAACAAGGACAGTTAGCTCAGTGCTAACCGTGCTTGCTCCTCTTAGGAGTACGAGCAATCAAAACCTCCAAGTCCCCAGTGTGCTTTCTGAAGACTGGCATCACACATACCCTCCTGCCCTCCTACAGTTCTCTCTCACACCTTCAGCTGCAAACACTGTGAGCAAAGCATCCTAGGGGCAAAGCCAGCCCCTAGGATGTGCTTCCTGCAACAAGTTCGAACCACTTCCCCAAACACCAGCTGGGAGCTAAGCGCTCAAATACCCGAACCCACGAAAGACGGTTCTCATTCAAACCACACCACAGATATAAATCTAGAAACATGTTAACCTTTTGTAGCCTCCAACAATACCAATAATACTAAGCTTACACTATTAGGAACTTGTCACCCGCTGGGGAAATGTCTCAGCGGGCAGGGTGATTGTCGCACACATCTTAATCCTGGCACTAGGGGTGAGAACTCAGGAGGGCCTCTGCAGCTGGCCAATCAGTAAGCTCAGGTCCAGGGAGACACCCTGTCTGGAGCCATGAGTGGAAGAGCAGCAGAGGAAGACACCTTGCTGGACGCTGTTCTGTTGCTTTGGTAAATGCAGGGACAAAGGGCCTCTTAGCTCACAGGTCACACACTGTTACTCCGGGAAATCAAGGCAGGAACTTACGTCATCATGTCCACAGTCAAGGGCAGAGAGGGAATGCATGCATGCTCACTTGCTCGTGCTTGGAGTCATCTGGCTTTCC